TCTCCTCCCCGAGCCAGCCACTTTCCTGTGCCTAGTGCGGAGGTCGTGGATGAGGTCCACGATGTCCGCACTAGACCAGGTGGGCGCCTGCCTCTTGTGACCCCGGAGGGGGCCCGGGGAGCGGCCAGCCTGGTCCTGGGAAGAGGCGGAGAGCTGGGTGGCAGCGGGTGGCCGGCTTGAGCCGTGCCAGGTTCAGGGTCTGCTGGCTGGGTGCTGGCAGTCTTGCACCTGGCACGGGCATTGTAGCCAGCCCGTGCCCCTTTAAGGGGTCCGGGGCCAGGAGGGGGGCAATAGAGTTTCCCTGGTGTTGGCCAGAGTGGCCACCAGGGAAAGCTGGGGAGGGCTAGCCTCCCACTAGTTCGAATTAACTTTGCTACACACCCCTTAATTCGAACTAGTAAGTTCGAACTAGGCTTAGTCCTCGTAGAATGAGGTTTACCTAGTTCGAACTAAGCGCTCCGCTAGTTTGAATTAAGTTCGAACTAACGGAGCGCTAGTGTAGCGCCTAGAAAAGTTAATTCGAACTAACAGTTAGTTAGTTCGAATTAACTTTGTAGTGTAGACATACCCCTAGATATTCTCTTGCCCTTTCCAAAAGGCAAATGGATTCTATAGTCTGTCACAATAGCTACCAGTCCTCACAATGAAATCATGTATAAGATGTTCAACCATCCAATGTATCCATTTTCTGCCTGCCAATATATAACACGAGATTCATCAGACCTTTATGTTACTTGCAAATTTTGTAGCAAAATCCCAGTACACATTTCAATAAACTAAACGCTCTACTTAGATGACATTTGCGGGGTGTTTATTGATAGTAGTAGTTCGTAAATATTATAAGACATTTCAGTTTACTGAAATTCCCTGTAAACTTGACTTAAAGACCATGAATGTTAAACTTTCACTTTGTGTTCAAAAGGATTCAAGCGCATAACACTAGAGACTGTGTTTACCTGTGAAATTTTGATTTCAGCCCATCCAAGAGAAATAGTGAAATGTAAGCATGTAATTGGTCAAAACAGAGGCAGAAGCCACAAAAAGAGCATTCATTGGCTTAGTTAGAAATACTAAGGGCTTTTATGACTTCAGTATTGTGACACTCAAACTGTTCCAATGAGGCATTCTTTCCATATAGGGCACCTTTAATATTTATCTGCTATAATTCTTAGATAGTGAAATGCACCACTGCACTGAGGGTCAGCATAAGACATATAGACCATTCAATTTCCACTTAAACTATTTAAGCATTTCAAGCCTTTAAAAATGCCTGGTTCTATCATTCTGCAGAGAGGAATTTAAGCTGAAAACAGTAATAGGTGGACTCCAAAATATGTTAAATCTAAACCCATATGTAGTGTTTACTTAGCATGAATCATTCCATCATGGTTTGCAATATTCTAACTTTTAATGGTAAGCAGAGTCAATGACTGCAGCATTCAAACACAGTAATAGCCAATTCAATAGCACTGTAAAGCAATCTAATTCTGAATATGCTTAGTAAAACCAAGCAAAAACCAAACTTCCCGCACTCAGGATGAATGAGCACACAAAACAGGATACAATACCTTATAAATTGGGGAGACCGTGCCATAGAGTCAACATCAGTTTATCAAAAAGACAATCTTAACCACCTCATCATAAAACTGAGTAGGAAATGATGACCCCAAAGACTGTGTAGTGAGGATTCTACATACAGCTGAACTGAAAGAAGCCAAATCTATTCATACATTTGTTTAGCATTTTACATATGACTTTTGCATCTTGTCTCTAGCTATTTTTAATGAACTATTACTCTGGTGATTTATAACAAAGAGGCTTTTTTTTTCACCATGATCATTAACCTTGCAGCAGAGTGGCTATAAGAAGCTATAGTTTACTATAAGGACAAGGGGTACTAGAAAGGTACATTGTGTAAGTAAGTACCGAGTACATTGTGTCTGATTCAAGTTTCACCCTGAGCACATCTGTCAAAACAGAACATATTCTAAAGAAGACAACTGATCCAAACTGAAGAACTGTTGGCTAATTCTATAATTGAGTTAGTTTATAACGTGTCTCTTTCTTACACTTCTAGCGACAGCTATAGGTCATGTCTCTGCCTTGTTGGAGTATGGTGCATTCTGCAACTGTCAAGATGTTAAGATCCATTGAATGATTTTTAAGAGTGTTATCCCAAGTAAATTGATATACTACATTTTGCTTCCCATGACAAACAAAGCCATTTTTAATCCTGCATCTTAATGTTTAAGTTTCTTAAGATGTATAGCCTGATCCTTCATTATTTTGATCACAAAACTTCTATTGACATTTTGGCCCTGTTGACTATAACTGCATTGTTGTAACAATTTGCAATAAAAATGTTGGATGATGGTATACAATAAGGCTGTGTTTGGACTACATCTCTCTGTAGACAGAGACATATAGATTAGGCACGTCGAAATTGCTAATGAAGCAGGGATTTAAATATACCACACGTCATTAGCATAAACATGGCCACCACTTTTTTTTCGAAACGGAGCTTTTTTGAAAAAAATGGCAGTCTAGACGCAGATCTGTCGAAAATAAACCCTTTTTCAAAAGATCCTGTAAATCGATTTTTTTGAGGAATACAGGATCTTTCGAAAAAGGATTTATTTTCGACAGATCCATGTCTAGACTGCCAGGATTTTTTTTCTGAAAAAGCTCCATTTCCAAAAAAAGCGGTGGCCATGTTTATGCTAATAAAGCACGGGATATTTAAGTCCCTGCTTCATTAGCAATTTCAACTTGCCTAATCTACATCTCTCTGTCGACAGAGAGGTGTAGTCTAGACTTACCCTAAGGTGTACAGCTCATTTCCAATTATGCAGCTTATTAAAGTCTTCCCAATTCACATGCAATCTTGCCATGGCATGCATAGAATACATTGAACCTGTGAGTTTTGACTAATAGGAAGCATTTAAAGTGAACAGCAATACAAATTATAATTACATGTAGGAAACTTCATAATCCTCCCCCTACTCCTGCCATCCCCCAGCTGCCTTTTTCTAAATGGCACTTTCTGAAGACGTTGCTCTTGAGAAGCACCGTGCTTTGCTATGTAGTATCTGGCAAAGCACCATACTTTGCTATGTAGTATTTCTTCTCCTCGCCCACTCACACAAATCTGTTTGTGTTTCACCGGACAAAACACAAGCACAAACAGGACTAGTATTGCATGTAAAGATTGCAAACATATGCAAGCTGAAAAGTGAAGTTACCGCTGTAAAAACATTGGCAATATGCATATAAGACAGCTAGACACATTTTTATAGATCTAGAGGGGCTTTAAGGGTAAAATGAACAGAGGAGGGTTTGGGGAATGACTTGGAGGACATTCCCCATGGGTTTTTCATACCTTGCACTGCTAATTCTTTCCATCTTTCTTTGTTTTGTTGAATGATCTGCACCAAGTTGTCCTTAAAGCTGGATAGGTCAACCGTTGCTAAAGAGTTGTCTGTGGAAGTCCCTCCATCACTTGAAGTACTTTTTACACTGGGTCGCCTTTGTGCATCAGCATTGCATACTGCTCCCAAGCTATGGTGGCTAGAGAAATAAGAAAACTCCACATTATGAATAGAATTGGGGATATGCATACATAAAAACAATTAATTTATGTTGATATTTTTCAGATTTATATGTATATCACTAGCTAGAAAATTGGCCTTAGTCAAGGAAAGTATAAGACACATTTCCTTATTAAATGAATTGCTTCCTGTGAACAATACTTAGTGCCATATTTCCAGAGAATTACTACAAAAATGTGGCAGTGTGCAACTTCCTGGCTAAATAGTTGGAAGAATTTTAACACACCAAGTTTGGCAACACCTTTCTGTGCAACTCTTTGAAATGAGTGGGATTGTTCTGGGCAAGTTGGAGAGGCATCTGCTGCTAATCTGGGCTGGAAAGGCAATACATGACAGAGCAAACTTTGTTTTCATAGGCATGTGGTAGGCTCCAGTTGGGAGCATACCAGAGGAGCTCTGTGCCTGTTATCTGAAGTCAGTATTTAGTTCAATTAAACCCCAGTGCTTCAAAATATACCAGCAAAGCAGGACTAAGTATTAAGAAATATGTTAAAATATTAACCATAATGTTTGGCATTATCCACTAAGCAACAGGAAGTGCATCAGTTTAGAGAATGTATGCATGTGCACCTGAGAAACATTGATATACAATAGTACAAATGAAATCTCTGAACACCAAACGATAGATCCTATTTTGTGGCAAATCTCCCTTTGCAGCTAACGGGAATTTTGTACAAAATGTGGCCTGCAGGATTAGACACCTAATGATGAATCTCTGTGTAAGCCCCCCAGTGCAATGCTTCTGCTCACCTCTCATTCACTTATGCACCCGCATGTAAAACTGGGGATTAAAGTTGCCTGATCGCCAATCAATAAAAGTGAGTAAAGAGTATGTGGCACCACTGATGACTTAGTCTAGCAGAGTTGCAGAAAGGGGTTGGGAACACTGCCCACAAGAGAAATGCATGAAGGGTACGTTAATCCTAACAAAGCAAAGTTATAGCCACATCCTTCTGATACCACCAAACCTAAGGAACTATTTATTGCAGTATGTTTACAGTGGTAAACTACAGTGAATGTTAAAGCCACATTTTAAAAAGAGAATATGGCAAAATACTTAGTTTTCTTTAAAGAGAAAAGACCCAATATATTTTATGATGGAAGGGAACCAGCAAACATTTTCTTATTGTATGTCCTGAGGAAAATTCATCTTCATGTCTTTAGAGATAGGTACTTTGATCTTTATTGTGTTTTTTGCCCTTCCAAGAACAACGTTTTTCCTAGTCCAAGTAAGAGTAAACAGCTGCAATAGCAAGACATTGCCACTAGGTGGCAACACAGTATAACTATTCACATCAGACGTTTGCATATATGAACAGATTATAAAATAATTATGCCAGTGTTGCTAATGTTAGTTACACAGAATCACAAAGTAAAAGGAGAAAGTGTTCAAACCTAGATGTCCCAAAGGCAGAACTTTCAGACTTTGAAGCTTCCTCTATAAGAGGAATAATAATTTTCTCCATTGAGTCTGTTAGAAGAGAAAATGTGGGCTCTACTATGAAATCTATGAAACCTGAAAAACAGAAAGAGATTAATTCAGGTGATACAGTATCCCAGGTCTCAGAGCCAATGACTAATCTCTGTCTTTATTCTCAAACTGGCTCCATCTTCAGAAACCATAGATTAGTAAAACTCTAAAGAGAATTGTCATCTAATGACATTCATAATATCGATTAAGTTGGAAAAATGTTGGACTTCTATGTTTTAATATCAGGATAATAGTCTGAAGACAAATGCAATACAGATTCAATATACTTGGAATTTTTTGTTTTCTCTGCTGTAATTTCCATTGTTATTAGTCTGCTGAGGAAAACAAACCCACACCGCCAGGAGAAATACATAAGTGCTAATATTTACAGCTTTTCACTCCTGTCTCCACTGAACCCAGCACATTTCACAATAAGATTTTCATTGGAAACTGCAATTAATTACTGAATAAAAGGGATGTCATGATGGAGTCAATGGGCAAGAAGTCAAAGTACCTCTCTTACCATTCAGAGCCTCATGCCAATGAGTCAATATTGCAAATTGCTGTTTATTATTCTGTGGAAGTAAAGTGTTATTTCACAGTGTGTAGGAGTGTTCTGTCAAATCAGTTAAGAGAACAAGTAATATCCCTAGGAGACAGCATTCATCCCACAGCTTTAAGATGTCAGTGCTGAACAATGTATTTTACATTTTAAAGTGCTTATCAAGGTAGAGAATGACATAGCTAGAGAGAATGAGGCATTATCCTCTGCTGAGCACTTAGACAACATTTAGGTAGAACATGACAGAGCCACAGATTTCAGGCTCTCTTCACATGCTAACTAAGGTGCCCCAGCACAAAGGTGAGCAACGGGCATAAACTCAAGTACGCTGCCACTTGAGTCTGGCTGGAAGTGGAATGGGATACCATATTAAATTACAATATAGTATTGGAGGATATTGTTCAGTTCAAAGATATGACATCTTAAAAAATGGGATCTCCCCGAGATTATTTGGGGGGCATGTTGATATTTGTGAAAGGCACTTTTCAAGACATGTTTTCCTCAGCAAACTCTTAAAATTCCTATCTGTTTTTGGCCCCATAAAACTTTAAAGCTTTAAATTATTTTTATCTCTATTTTACAGATGACGGATGAAGATAAGGGCATGCATTTCATCACTGAGAAATCACGTCCTAATTCTCTACATGTTAAGGCTCTTTACTTTGAATGTAAGCTCTGCAGGGAATATACTGTCTTTTTCTTTAGACGTTTATACAGCACCTACCACAATGAGACCACAGTCTTTGATAGAGGTGCCTAAATGGTACCAAAATACAAGAGATTATTATCTAATCAAAAGAGGTCTTGACCTAGCCAGACAACTTGAGCAGTCCAATTGAATTCACTGTGTCTTTTCACATTCATGTATAAATATTTTCAGAATTAGGGACCCAATCAGTAGCAGAGTTGGTATTAGCATTCAAGAGTTTTATTAACTTTCAGTCCACTTGATGAACTATACCGCACTGCTTTAGATACTGCGTTTTGAAAGAAAAAAACTAGTCTGTCTCTTTCTAAGAAGAGTAAAGAGTCTTTAATAGGTTTGTTATACTTCTCAACGTAAATTTGGAACCTTATTGGTTCATAATTTGGACTAGGCCCTTTAAATGGCTTTTCAATTCAGTATTAAACGGTGAAGACAATAAGACTTTAAAGGTCATTGAAATGGCTTTTCACGAGGCTTATTCACTAGGGGGAACGTAAATATTATACCCATTTTATAGCTAGATAAAGTGATATAGGAATTCCCTTGTGTAAGTGCTGGAGACAGATGCCAGGAGTTTGTCTGAAGGGCCTTTTGAAAACAATGAATTACTTGTGTCTGGCCAGATTGACTCTAGGGGTATATTTGTGCTTCAAGAGGAATGGTGTCAGAGCCTGGGATCCAACCTGATCCTGAACAGCTACACTGCAATTTTATAGTCTGGCAGCTAAGCCCTTTAAGCCCAAGTCAGCTGACCCAGGCCAGCCACAGGGTATGTCTCCACTGCAATAAGACCTATGTGACTGTGTGTAGGTGACAACTTCTCCATGCTTTGTTTGACTAAATTCTAAAATGTCTGTAGCAATAGTTGGATCACAAAAAGGCAGATTTCCAGTTCCCTGATCTAACAACAAAACATACTGCCCCGCATGCTTCCTAAGTCATGCTGAAAGAGCCTAATGTCCCTTTTGACAAAAGCATGTTACTAGTGTGATGTGCTCTGATTTCTGGGAGTAAGCGTGTAGAAAGAAATGTCTCGTTCTATGGCTTTTGAAAAGTGTTGTGCGAAAAAGAAAATCACATTGATCATTACCTATTTGGGACTGAGCCACCATGGTAGACTTGCGATCACAGAGTGGGGAAAATGGAAGCCCTAAAGCAGCCTCCTTGTCTCCCTGGAAAAGCAATGTTTCATATTATAAGAACACACATACAACAGAGAAAGCCTGCACATTCCTAGAATGTATCTGACCAATTACTTCTACAATTCACTTCTTTTCCTAAATTAAAACAAGCTGTGGGTAACACTAATCTAATATTGTTTTTTTAAATGAGAGAGAGAAGAAAAGGAAAAGTCAACATTATAACTCAATTTTAATAATTCGTATTTAAAAGAACATGTTGAAAGCAAAGATCTTGTCAGGACCAAAGCATTTGTCAGGGAAGGCAAATAAAAAGCAAGTTTTATAAGGAGCCTTTGCAGCCTCAATACTTGGAGTTGGAGCATCCAGACACCCATCAATTTAACTTCTCTTGAAGAGATTGTGGACAAGAGAAGTGGACACTTACCACTCTGAGATTTTCCTAATTATAGGATGGCATTTTAAAATGGTGGGGGCTACACATTTGCCTGGAAATTTATCGATAATCTTGTAATTGTAGAATGATGTCAATTTGCATTTAAAATATAGACCTTGAATATTTTTATCACTTAGCACTGAAAGATGATATGGAATGCACGTGAGGAAAGAACAGAAAAATAATTCCAGTACAACTACTTAACAATAGCCTTAGAGGTAGAAGAACACGCTTCAAATAGACATGGATGATTTCACCACTTCTTCCCCTTAAAATCCAACTGAATTCCATAATCTGAGTTAAGAGATGGAGAGATATCTAGAGCTGGAGAAAGAGCAGAGGGAAGATACCAAAACCCCATTGGTGGCCATATATACATAGAATGGGTTGAGAGGGAAAGAAAAGAGACAATGGACTAAATTACAACTGACTTTGTGCTTTATGTCTGAAATGAGAAGCGTGCCCAGACAGCCTTGCCCTCACGCTGTCCACATAGGAAATACCCATAATTTGACTCCATGGAACAGAAGAGAGCAGCAGCGAGGAGCTAGTGGTCCCCAAAAGTGAACCACATGAATATATAATGAAGGAGCTGGTTCTCAGACTGGTGTTAATTGGTGTAGCTCCATTGATTTCAATTAAGTAAGGATCTGGTTCCACAGGCTTCTGCTACACTAACGGTTTTATTTTAAAAAATTAAACCAACCCATTCGGCTTAAGATGCCTCCAGAATGCCTCACTGGAACTGTGGCCTGATTATCTAACATTGGGAGTGTGTTATTACTTTATCTCTGGCAAAAACCCCAATGTTAATGTAACATTGTGTTTGAGAAAGCAAAAGTCAAGAAATTCCATACTATAGTTAAAATATCAAAACTAAAAATCTAAAACCTTAACTCTCTTTACTGCCATACATATTTTGACAGTTCATATAATATACAGTGAATTCTGGAATTTCTTATACAAATTCATACATTGAAAATTGTGGCACAGGGCACAGCTTTAAAATTTGATTTTATCTTTAATTTTTACAAGATATAAAAATTAAATAAGCTAAGTTTGAAGAAAATCAGTTATATAATTTAAAATCATTATTTGAAAGTTTTTTGTTTTTAACTAAATTCAAATCTAGAGAAGAACATTATCAGAGCTGAGATGGTTATTTGAGTGACCTCAGATGTATGTTTCTTTATTATAATGCATTTGAGATGAGTAGATGTGATTTGAGCATATTTTTAAAGTGAAAATAACTTTTTTACAGTTATGTTCTAAAGCTCTGCCCTTTAAATTATTACTGATACATATTTTAAATCTTAGTAACAGTTGAATAAAGTTTTCAGTCTAGGAAAATCTTCGTTTTCCATCTGTGCCCACTTTTAAAACTACAGGTAAATCTAGACTTCATTGCGTCCAGGAAACATGTTTGCTCTTTCACTTCTTTTGCGGAAGAGCAAACATGCTCTTTCGGGGAGCCCTGTATGCCTCGTTCTATGAGGAATAAGGGCTTTGCCAAAAGAGGAGGCTTTTCTGCTATTTGGCCCCATCTAGACGGGGCCAAACGGTGAAAAGCCTCTTCTGGAAAAGCAATCGGGAAAAGCTACACAAATTGCTTTTTCCGATAAAAGAGTACAGTCTAGACCTAGCCTACATATTAAAAATTCATGTTTTTATAAACTCTCAGATTCTGGTGGTTTTATCAGTGCTGCTGAGAGAGCAGGCGAATGACATTTAAAAAAATACGTAAGTTCAGAAGTCTTGAAATTTCTTTATCAAACTTGTGTCTTCTAACATGAACAGTGTTTTACTATTCAAAATTTAACCTTTTTGACTGACTAATGTAGTATAGAAGGCAACAATCTTAGAAAAAAAGTTTCCAGTTCCCTGTCAGTCCTAATTATTATCACATTTACAGGCTGGTTAACAGACATCAAGCTGGATGTCAGAGTTCAAGTGCTTGATATTATATTTCAAGTGCTGCTTTAATTACATCTATTTAATTAGCATCTAGGTATGTACAAACCAGTTTCAATTAAAACAAAGTATTAAGTTGTCACATAAAACTTAAACTCAATCATTTTCAGACACTGTAAGCTTGTCAGTTTATATTATTACTTTTCTTTATGTGTGGATGTGCACCTTTTGGCTTTGGCTGAGACAGAAAAAAGACACACCAAACTAATATGAAATAGTTATTATCATTTAATTCCCCATTTGGATGGAAAAAGGAAATGAAATTCCAGCACATTTTCTACTTTCCATGGGCTCCGAGTTCACCTAAATGTTATGACCAGATCCTGCTGTTCTTACAGTAAAGGCACTGACCTCGATGGGTGGGAATTTTGACTATTACAGACTGCAAGACTAGACTCTTCTCTTATTCTCTCCTCTCCCTCCCTTCCCCTCTCCCCTGCCCCCCAGACTGTGCTTGTTTGCAACATATTTTAGAGGCTGTGGAGGTTCATCTACGTTAACATCAACCAGAACTGTTCATATTAGAGATATGTGCAGCCTAATTCCTGTCCCGGCTGAGTGTATATTATCCCAGTTTCTGTTGTCTACATTTGAAATGAAGATGCTCTGAGTTTCACATGTTTATAATTACAAAATGTTTAAATACATTTCAATGACAAAAATTGCCTTTATAAAACTCAAGTCTCTGCGCAGTTTATTTATGAGCTTGTGCCATTTTACATTGAAATAATAAAGTAGTATCTAGAGTTTTACCTGAGGCTATGCTCTCCATACCATAGCAGTACAGAACTGTATGTTGTTAATGATACTGCCCCGGGCTAAATTATATTGTCTCCCTATGCTCCCTGCCTCCCTATATCTAAAATGCTTTTGCAGTGACTTGTTTCTGACCTTTTCTTCTGGGTTGATGACCTCTCCCCTTTCCTCCAGCATTCTATATCATCATCATTTCCATTTACGGTAAGAGACACCAACTGGTGACTCCACATTTCAGGAACTGATATTGAACTTAATTAATGATCTGCTGCTGCTCAACATTTCCCCAAAACTGGGTCTGTTCATTATTTAGATTAAAGGCACCAGTTGTCACTCTCAAAGGCAAATCAAAGAATCAATAAGATTCTGCCAAGTTTACTTTCAAAATCAATACTGAGCATCTTTAGGAACTAAGGGAGAACTCTCCTGGGCAGATGATGTAACTTCCTGACCGATTCATTGCCCTGACCCCATTCCAGTTTAATGTATGACTAATTCTGTTTGAAAATATAACATAGAAAAAGGCCAAGAAGCTAGTATCTGCCTTTCCTTATCTGCTTTGTCAAAGATGTAGTCAGTAGCGGTGCTATGATGTGTCTAAATTAGGTTTTATGCATTTTTTGATGGTTCTTCCTGTAACAGCTTTCCTGCTGCTGGGACACTAGGTCCAATTTTAATTGAATTGTTGTTGTTTTAAACAGCATGCAGGGCCCAGGCATGGTGGATCCTATCTCCCACATATGGGGGAGAGTGTTTTGATTACACTTGTAACTCAAGAAGACTCTGAAAGATCTATGTATTCTTCTTTCTTTTCCTTTTGGATGGATATATTTTTATTAAAATATCTACCTATTAATTTCATTTAGTAATCCCTGGCCTGACCAAAAATTGTGGGGCCCAAGGTGGCACACTGACAGTGGCTGTGCTGCGTGGCTGGGCGGCTCCCAGCCAGGGCAGTGAAAGAGCAGCTGGGAGGGTGAATGCCGGGCAGAGTAGGGCCTTGCCTGTGCAGTACCCAGGGCAACCTCCTTGCTCTCCTTGCCTTGAGGCCAGGCCTTCTTCTTCCCATCAAACAAATGAAATTAATAGGTAGCAAGTTTAAAACAGCTACTTCTTCACACAACACAGTCAACCTGTGGAACTCCTTGCCAGAAGATGCTGTGAAAGCCAGTACTTTAATAAGGTGCAAAAAAGAGCTAGATAAATTAATGGAGGTTAGGTCCATCAATGACTATTAGCCAGGATGGGTAGGAATGATGTCCCTAGCCCCAGAGACTGAAAGGGTGACGGGGTGAGATCACTTGAAGATTACTTGTTCTGTTCATTCTCTCTGGGGGTACCTAGCATTGGCCAGTATAGGAAGATAGCTGGACCTTTGGTCTGACTAAGTATGGCCATTCTTATCTTCGTACGTTATGTTCTTATTCAAAATAATTATGGTGCTCTAAAATGAACTATTCAAATGTTGTACAAAACAGTGGGGATTGCCTTTATCCTTTTGGTTATCAGCTTATGCCTACCTTATTAAAAGCTTCCCATTTAAATGCAAGTTAAATTTGAAATGTCAATCTCTTCCTAAGAATTGTCTAGCATATTCTATCAAGTGCTATTTCTCCCATAGTGCTTTTGAGGACATAACCTAGCTGCATAAAATAAACTGAACATTAGGAAAACATGGGAGCCAGCAAAATGTAGTTTTCTAAAATGCCGCCACTATTAAATTGCTGATTTTTCCCCATTCCACCATTGCTTCTTTTGGCTGGATACCATGTCACCACACTGATAACCCAAATCAAAATGATGTTAAATATTGAGATGAAGAAAAAGGAGGAGTCTAAAATATATTTTTCTCAACAGAAAGAAAAAAAATATCCCTCACTTGTAGTTAATATGTAAAGTGACCACAGATGGTCATTTTATCAAAACAAATCCAGTTTTTCACATGTCATCTTAGGATCCAAAACAATTCTAGCAAGGCACCTGAAATGTCCTGTTTTTAAGTTTCACTACTTGAAATGGTTGCCCGCCCTCATCATTGTTAGACAGTAGAATATGTTCTGTTTTTACGAGCCTATAGTGTTTGGAGTTAACAGAAAGAATGAATGTAAACATGATCAAAGCCCTTCCTCTTTACTAAAAAATAACATTAATTGCGCTTCCTCACTGATTCAAGATAAACTCATTATTTGTTACTAGAAAAAATAACTCCGTGAAATAAACATATGTTGCTATTAAATTAGACACTGGCAATAGTACACAAGAACACATTTAAAAAGAAGTATTTTATCTTTTGTACAACAACAAAAAACACTGCTCCACTGCTGTGTTACTTGTGTGAGCCCAAAGTTATAGCCACGTTATCAATAGAAAGATTCCCATTGGCCTGAGTAGCCTCATAGAGCCTGAAAGAAAAATTCCATCATATCTATATGAGACATTCACAGCACTAGCTCATAATAACAGGAAAAGGGAAGACTTATGTAATATGACATGGATATAACATTCATCTGCCTTCTTTGCTGAACACACATCCTTCACATATCCAGGTACTCCCTCCTACCCAATGCCTCTTTTTAGTTCAGAGTGTGTACAGATCTCTATCTAAAGAGTGAAATCAACTTGACAAATTATAATACTGTAGAGGGAAGAAAAAAATGAATGCTTTGGAGCCTACAATTACCTGAAATAGATATTAACCAACATCTTACTCACATGAGTAGTTGTATTGAAGCCAGTGGGACTACTTGTGAGAGTAAGGCAAGCACAATTCTGATCACACTATTGAATTATAACTCACAGCATTCTCACAGGTGGAATGATAAGATATCTAACAGCGTAAGTTATACTTTAACTACGTTAACATATTTTGAAAATGGCACCTGTCGAAAAAATTCTTCCATCAATGCTGTTGTCCACCGGTAGTGCAGGTCCCAAGATTTTGCTGGATGGCTTATGTCGGCTGCGTGTAGTATCAAAGACATGGCTTTGGCTTTGTCTATCCTGTCAAATCAAGGATATGCTCCAGTTATCACAGAACAAAAACAACTATTTGAAGTCTTTTGTGCACGAGCTCATTTAAAAACTGCTGAAGAACAGAATAGAAAATAACGTACCCCTCTGTCTGTTGCAAAGTATGTCGCATTGTTTTAATTTGCTGGAAATGTCCTGACATATCTGTTGACAAGACCATCTCAATGACCAGGCTACGCAATTCCCTGAAAGCAAGCAAAGCAAAGTTACCAATTATCATTCAGTTATTCTGTTCATGGAACATTGGCTTAAGCAGCTCTGGTTAATTCATATTTTTCTAAACAAAAATGAATACCTTTTTTAATTAAAAAAGCACGTCAAGATATGATTAACAACTGGAACCTTATGTCCCTAAGGGGATTCTGTGGCAGCAGCACACTTCACAAAATCAACTCTGCAATTATTATTTCAGTGTCCTGCTGTTTTGTGATCCCTCTTTTCTAGTGCATAACCTGCAATGAAGTGTGATAGTGGCTATAACACTTCTGCTTATTTCATCCTAGTAGTAGGACCATCTCACTGGAAGAGAAAGGAGATCAATTTGACCATTGGGCCCACTACAACAACTGGTGAATATAAGCTTCCAAATTAGTGTAGAACAGATACAACAATTAGATAGAAGGCTGAGGGGTCATTTAGGAAACCAAGAAGTGTCAAATTTGGAATGTTAGCAATTCAGTCTATTTAAAGTCACTTTTTACTCCTTTTCTGCATTTCAAGAGTAGTCACAACAGCACCCATGTCCAAATCCCCTCCCCCCACCACCTTCCCACTGTGAGCTATTACACACTGGGATAAGTTACCACAGCTCTAGCAGTACATTTTAGCTACAGCTATGAAATAAGCACACAAATACATACGTATGCAACAGAAATCATTCATTCCTACCACTTGTAACCACTGATTTGGAAACAATGGCATCCTCATTCACTAACTTTTTATAACCTGCTATAAGCATATCCCATTAGGATCAAAGGGAGCTACAGAGCCATCCCATCCATAGGGTTTGGGACAGCTGCCCCGGGCCTCATGCAGGGTGTCCTGGGGAACTAATAGGGGGCTTAGCAGCCACAGCAGGGGTTGGGCCCCCCTCCATACTCATTGTCAACAGCAGGGAGAAGCAGAGCAACTAGGCTCCTGCCTGCTCTGCTCCCCCAGCACCCAGCTGGACATGCAGGAAGGGGGCTTTGCAGAAGGGATGGGACTGCCACCCCAACTCATTGGGGCACTCTGCTTCCCACTGCCACCAGTGAGTGTGAAGGCAGGGGAAGAAGGGACCCCAGCTGCCATCACCAGGCTCCCTGCTAACCCTCCTGGCCATGTCACTCTGAGGAGGGGGTTTAGAGGAAGAGGTGGAGTGGGGGCGGGGTGAAGATGGAGCAGGGGCAGGAAAAGTGAGGGCAGGGGTGGAGCAGGGGTAGAGTAGAGTCAGGAAGAGTTGGGGCAGGGTGGGGGCAGGGCCTGAGATGGATGAGATGATCGTCCTGGGCCCTGCACCCTGCTAGGGAAAGCACTGGGGAGCTACATGTAGGTAGGAGAAATACCTAACCTTAAATGTAAGTTTATGGACCATGCACACTTCCGCATACTTCTCTGATTTTCAGATTCATTTCCCTGTAATACTAAGAACTTGGACTCTACTGCTAATCATTGATATTGTAACTTATGGAGTGTCCTGGTATCAGACCTTTCAGTGGGAACTCATGGCTGCAAAATAGCAATGTCAGTTAGATCAAAGACACAGAGGATAGTATGATGAGACTACCTAGAATGGCATGTAGCCAATCAGCAACTGCTAGCAGAAAATATCTCCAACTCCTGGTGACACCAGATGGGGAGGACTCTGAGGCTATGTCTAGACTGCAGGCTTCTTTCGGAAGAAGCTTGTCTGGAAGAAATCTTCTGAAAAAACTTCTTCCAAAAGAGAGTGTCCACACCGCCAAAGCACATTGAAAAAGTGATCTGCTTGTTCGAAAGAGAGCATCCAGACTGAATGGACGCTATCTCACATTTAAGCTTTGATTACTATAGATGGAGTGGCCACCAGGGAACCGGTGCTTTTTTCTCTTTCCTCTTCTTTTGAAAGAACTCCCTCTTCCCGTCCACACACACCTTTTTCTGAAAGAACTCTTTCAGAAAAAAGCTTCTCCTTGTAGAAAGAAGTTTACCAATGTCAGAAAAACCCCTCAGTTCTTTCAATTTTCTTTCAGAAGAATGTGATTGCAGTGTGGACATAATTGAAGATTTTTTTGAAAAATGGGAATTTTTCAAAAAAAACCTCTCTAGTGTAGACATATCTTGAGATACTACAGAGAATTCTTTCTCTGGTCAAGATCCACCAGGTATCTGCCTGGCTGATCTTGACCACACGCTTAGGGTCTAACTCATCACCATGTGTGTGATTGGAAAGAAAATCTCCCTCAAATCAGATTGACAGAGACTCACTGTTTTTCTGCTTTCCACTGCAGCATGGAGCATGGGTCATTTTGATTGTTAGATTCTCTGTAATGTTAGATTCTCTGTAACTAAGTCTTTAACATGGCAACTCGTTTTCTAACAGGGGTCATTGACCCTTAGAGAAAAATCAGTTGCGGACCAAACATAGCTCTGTGGGGGGTGCAGAAGCTAAGTGCTTTTCCTAGGACTTGGGGTAGGGCCAAAAATGAGGTGTTCAGGTGGAGACTGGCACAAGGAGTTGGGGTGCAGAGTCTGGGGTGGGGCTCATTATATTGTTTGGAGTTACAGGGTTTAGGAAGAAATCACTTGAAACACAGAGAGCTGTGGTGGCTGCAAGGTGCCATTTTATTCCATAACACAGAACTAAATAGCACTAGCCCAAACTGGCTGGGCTGACCCCTAATGACCTAACTCAGTTACTATAACAACAACGAGATCTATATCTACAGCAACCCAATACACAACATATTCCTCCACTCCTAATAAGAACATCCCTTAAATAAAACAAACACTAAACTAGGGAATGAGGGTAGACTGCCTCAATTCCTCGCTAATCCCTGGGATTATTTTGCTCTGTAACCTTGGGTTAACCTTAACTAAAGGTCCAGCCATGGAGGAGGCCTTCTTTGTCTAGGTGGATAATGGTAGATGTCTGGTGTTCTTGCACTTGAAGGTGTTATGGGTGTGGGCCTGAGAATGGGCTCGGGACTTGAAGCACAAACAAGTGACACTGTTGGATCAGCCTGCTCAAGGAGGGGATTTGTGTTCGCCGCAGGGAGTGATGGAGGAGGAGAGTCAGGAACAGGTGATTCATGATTTGGCAGCTCATTGGTAGTGGTGAGGTCAGGCAACTCAACCGGAGATGTGTCCTGGAGGCAGGCATAATCTGGCAACAACTTATCTACATACCGTTGCCAGATGAGATCCTCTGCAGTCCAGACAGTATAGGGAACATGTCCGGTTTGAGTGATGACAGTGGCAGGGACCCATTTAGCTCCAGAAGCATAGTTCTGAGCCAAAACCAGCTTTCCAAGACTAAAGGTTCAGACTTTTGCTCTGGATGCATGCCTGATGACTTGACCTTGTGGTTGACGTTGCACAATTTGTTGTTGTTCAGAAGGTTTCAGCAGTCCATCGTTAGTAAGTCTGGGGACATTTTGGTTGTAGCATGAGGTGTGTTTCTGTAGGATAGTAAGGTGTTCAGATGCTTTTGCATCAGTGAATGTCCTCTAGCCAATTTCAGAGTTTGTTTCATTGTCTGCACAAACCTTTCAGAAATCCATTGGTGGAGGGATGATACGGTGCTGAAGAGATGTAATGAATCCCATTTGCTTTCATAAAATTTCCAAACTCCTGAGAGATGAACTGCGGACCATTGTCATTCACTTATATTTTAAAGACCAATATAACTAAAGTATCCACATAGTTTTTGGATAGAACTCTCAGCAATAGTGGACATCATTATAGAGACTTCTGGCCACCAAGAACATGTTACCTTCAAATGGGCCAGGAAAATCAAAGTGAACTAGTTGCCATGTTTTTTCAGCCGAGTCCCATGGGTGTAGAGGTGCATTCTTCACATCCTAGCATGAAATACAAGCTCTTACCTTCTCCTGAATGGCACACTCCAAGCCAGGCCACCAAAATAGCTTTGTACAATTTCTTTCATGCACATCATTCCACAGTGACCTGAATGTAGCTGTTCTAATATCTGTTGTCTCAGTAGCGTTAGAGTAAAGACACATTCCCCACAACAAGCACCCAGAATGGATTGATAACTCTATCCTCCTGGACATGTAGAGAACAAGGTCATGTGAGACCTAAGAATCCCATAGAGATGTTCCATGCATCACTAGGTCCATAACTTGGGATAGTACTGGGTCAACATGAGTTGCTCTCTTAACTTGCACAGCAGTGATAGGCATGTTCAAACTGTTCATAGAAGATTTCTTTCTGGCCAATATTTTGATGTTTGACTAGCAAAGGCAGCCTTGAGAGACCATCTGCATTGCAATGCAGAGTGGATTTCCAATGTCTGATCTCATGTGTGTGTCCAGAAAGCCACAAAGCCCATTGTTGCATACAACTAGGGGCCAATGGTGGAATGCCTGTGTGTGAACTAAAAATTGCAGTCAGCAGTCAGTGGTCAGTGAGAAGTGTAAACTTCTGTCCAAAGAGGGTCTGATGAAATTTCTGTAGCCCGAAAATTATTCCCAATGTTTCATGCTTGAATTGAGCCTTGCTTAAGGTGCGTGAAGCAAAAGCAGTTGGTTTCTCTTCTCCTGGAGGCAAATGTGTAACAAGACCACTCCAATTCCATAGAGGGAGGCATTGCAAGCCAATTGTAAAGGTAAGGATGGATCAAAATGTGTCAGGACCTCTAAGTTTAGCAATGCACATTTAGCTTTTTTAAATGCAACATCACATTTCCATCTCCTTCCAGGCCTTGTTTTGGCCAAGGAGTTCATGAAGTGGTTTTAACAGTGTGGCTAACTGTGAAATAAATTATCTGTAATAGTGCAATAGTCTGAGAAATGAGCGAAGTTGACTAACATTTTGAGAGGGTGACAACATTTTGATGCATGGTGACCCGGCTTACCACAGTGGTAACATTCCTGGCTCCCCACTGTTTTGTGCGCAGGTTCTTAGGACACTTCATGCTCCCTAAGGGGTGCAGTGAGGTATTGCGCCTCCTGTGTGGCCAGTTCCATGGAGACTGCAATACTAA